TCTTCATCATCATCATCATCATCATCATCATCATCGTTCTTACTATCATCATTAGGATCAATATAATCATGATTATAACTATCATCCATTCATCATCATCATCATAATCATCAATTATAAATGCATTTTTGTTTACATACATTCATACACACTCGCATACTTTTACCACACATACATGTACACCCGATCAAAAAAAAATACACAGAAACAAAGATTGGAAAGAGAAAAAGATAAAAAAAAATATAAGAAAGGCAAGCACAGAGTAACAGGGCCACATGTACGATATGAGAAAGACAGGAGAGAGAGAGAAAGAGAGAGAGAGAGAGGGGGGGGGGGAGGATAGAGGTGCTGGGCTAGAGACTTCCAAGCACTTTATATAAGCAATATAATTTGGGTCTCAAAGGGAAATATAAAGGGAATAAATGAAAACATTGTACATGCATTAACAAGTGGAAGGAAAAACAAGACCAACAACTGCTGTATGATCAACTAATTAAATAATCTAATTAAAACCTGCATGTACAAGTAATAAGGCTGTATAATGTACAAAGTTCAGGAAAAATCACAATCAAGGAGTTTTTTCCATTTTCTCCATTCAATCTCAAATTTCTGTTTATATTGTTCCCCTTGAATATTAGCAATGTATTTTTTCACAAATAAAATAATCCTTAATCAAATTAATGAAGGCAACAAGGTTTAATATCTTATGTTGGCACCTTGTTTTGTATATGTAAAATTTAATCAAAATTAGAATGACATTATCTGTCTTATTTCCTGTTTCTCTCCCATTGTTTGCAAATATACCAAAAATAAAACTTTGTTTATTAAAAGAGAATGGGATCAGAAGGGCATCAAAAAGTGTTTCTAAACTTTGCAAAAATTTCTGGCTTTCAAGGCACTCCCATAAAACATGAATAATTGTTTCTCGTTGTAAATTGCAGAGATTACAAAATGGAATATTAACAAGACCTAATTTAAACAAAAAAATTTGTTGTTAGAATGTGTTGTAATACCCTATATTGAAACCATTGCAGTTTTGTATGTCTTGTTACTTTGAAAGGTGTACTGAATATTTCAACCCATTTCAATTCATCATCTTCAAATGTCTTTTCCCATTTACTTCTACCAGAAGAAACAATAGATTTTTTAACAAGAAGATTATACAAGTCCCTACATCCCTTAGTCCTGTTTATAAAAATGTAATATTAGCTGGAATTAATGGAAGAGCAAGTGACTGTTGATTAAAACAAATATTTGATTTCCGTAAATATGATCTAATTGCAGAAATAACACCCTGATATTCAAGAAAGTTTGCATTAACTCTATAAATCTCAGTAAACTCTTCAAAGGAGTAAAATGTGAGAGAGCCTGGGTCTTTAACTAAATCATTAACAATACTTAACCCACTATTAAACCAGGCCATATAGAAAATTACTTTTTTTCCAATAGTAAAGTTTCTATTGGACCAAAGCGGCATTTTCAAAACATACTTTTCACTTATTTTCTTTACTTCATTAGAATTATTAAACTTTACCCATGCTCTAAATACATCTTTCCAAAATTTGTTCTTACAATTTTTTTCACAATCTTGAAGAAGTCCTGTCCCACATGTAGATAATTTATGCAGATCAAAGAATGTTTTGAAAATGAGTTGCCACTTAGATGATTTCTGATAGAGCCTCCGTATCCAACTAAGTTTTAGTGAGTCAATAAACAGACTTACATTTACCATTTTTAGACCTCCTTCATAATAGTTCTGCGTCATGACATCCCTTTTAATTTTGTCAACCTTTCCATTCCACAAAAAATTGGAAAGAATTGAGTTAAGATTTTGCAGCAAGTGTTCATCTGGGTTAGGTATAGAAATAAATAAACGATTGAACTGAGATAATAGAAGAGATTTGATAACAGCTATTTTCCCAATAGGTGTGAGACACCTTCTAGCCCAGGTTTTAATTAGTGTTTTAAGTTTAATTAGTTTTTTATCAAAGTTCAACTTAGGAATTTCATGCAAATTTACACTAAATTCTATTCCAAGTAAAGTAAATCTAACCTTTCCCCACTGTAAATTTAATTCAGGTAAAAAAGTATCACTACTGTAACTTTTACTTCCTATCCACACAACTTGTGTCTTATCAATGTTAAATTTTAAACCCGATATTCTTGCAAATTTATTCAACTCAACAATAGATTCCTTCAATGATAATTCAGAGCCATCAAGTATTAATGAGGTGTCATCTGCATATTGTGTTATTAGGATTGGACAATTACTCACTTCTATACCCTTGATCTTTTTATTGTTTCTAAATCTGATTCCTAGAACTTCAACACAAAGAAGAAAGATGTAAGGGGCGATCGGATCGCCTTGACGACAACCTCGTTTAATATCTATAAAATTTGACAGGTTACCACCCTGGTTAACAGCAGCTGAAACATTAGTATGAAATAACTTAACCCAATTACGAACCTCTGGACCAAAATTAAAATAATCAAAAACTTTATCAACAAATTTCCAAGACACAGAATCAAAGGCTTTTTCAAAGTCTAACATTAATAACATTCCTGGAATATTCATATCTTCAGCAAACTGCATTATATCATATAAAAGCCTAGTATTCTCCCCTATGTACCGACCTGAAAGAAACCCTGTTTGATCTTCACATATTACCTTATCTAGAACTGCTTTTATCCTACTTGCTATACAGGCTGAAGCAATTTTATAACTAATATTTAATAGAGTAATTGGTCTCCAATTTTTTAAAAACTGTCTAGGTTTATCTCCCTTAGGAATGCATATGATGACACCTTGTCTTTGAGTAACGGAAAGTAAGCCTTTTTTGTATCCACAATTTATAGATCTAACAATAAAAACACCAATCTGCTTCCAAAAACATTTTTAAAAAACTCAACAGTATATCCATCACTACCAGGACTTTTATTGTTCTTCACGTGTTTTAATGTTCTTGCTGCCTCGTCTATAGTAACTAATCCTTCTAAGTCTTCTGCCTCCTTTTTATCTAGTTTTGGAACAACCGATGAGTATATAAATTCTGATAAGTCTATATCCTCTATTTCTGAACTACTATCATCATATAATTTTTCATAATAACTACGTATTTCTTCCAATATCTCATCTTGTTTTGTTATAATACTATGCTCTTTTTCTAGTTTTGATATGATCTTGGAGACAAAATTCCTATTTTCTAAATTCAAAAAATACTTAGTTGGTTTTTCTCCTTCTTCTTGCCATCTAACTCTGGATCTACTAACGCTACCTTTAACTTTACTAACTCTAATATTTTCCAATTCCTTTTTCTTAGTTTCTAACTCCTCAGAATCTACCTGCTCTTGCTCTTCCAAATCTTGTATAGTTTTCTTTAAGATATCTTCATTTAAATTTTGCAGTTTCTTTTTATATGATGAATAGGATATTGTTTCCCCCCCTATTTCCATTAATAATGTTTCAAGAAAAATCTGATCATCAATAATAAATTCAATATCTGTATCTGAAATATTATCAATAGTATCCCTGTTGTACACTGGTAGACAATACTGTCTTTTTGTATCAGAAATTACTTTTTTAACCAAATCAAGATATTTTTCATCAAAAAGTAATGACGAATTAAATTTTCATAATCCTTTAACTCGTCTAAACTCATTAAATCTTAAATTCAAAATAGGAAAAGAGTGGTCTGATCTATAGCCTTGATCTATTTCTGAGCCGTTTACACTTGATAATAAATTATCTGAATTAAGAAAAAAATCCAATCTCGCCTGCTTCAATGGGGTCTTTTTTCTCCAAGTATATCTTCTATTATCAGAGTGTAGTTCCCTAAAGATATCAACTAAACCATGGCTTTCAATGATGTCCAAAACCTTTTCCCTTGCTTTCTGATTATTAACATTTTTATTACCCTTATCATAGTCTATCTCTGGATCTAAAACTAAATTAAAATCCCCACATATAATAACCTTGTCATTACCAAAATCATCAATAGTGTCAATTAAATTATCAAAAAAGTTTGGTGTGTCAGCATTTGGACCATACAGTGAAATAAGTGTAATTTTTGTACCTTCTATTAATAAATCAAGAGCCAAAAAATTCCCAGTCAAGTCTTTCTTTTTCTTGTTAAGCTTAATTTCACAGTTATTATTTAACATAATAGCAACTCCTCTGCAATTAGATTTAAAAGAGTTAAAATAAACTCAAATCACCATTCACTTCTGATAAATTTCTGGTTTTCTTCAGTGAAATGTGTGTCTTGTAAACAGTAAATGGAACATCTCTTAGCTTTAAGGTACGAAAAAACATCTTTTCTTTTAAGCTATCCCCGAGACCCTGGCAGTTAGCGGACAGAATAGATATCCCATCCATCAGTTCAAGTTATATTCCCGATTGACAAATACATGTTAACTAGCCCAGCGTTTGAGGAAAGAGTTAGAAAAGGAAGGAATAAGAAAGAAAGTAAGATAAAAATCATGTCTAAACTGTCAAAGTCAAAAACAACTGTTTACCTACGCACGCACGTTTCACCTGTTTCAAACCTCATGTGAACAACCGGAAGTAAGTGCAAACCGGAAGTAATATACTAATCATTTACAGTGGACTGCCATTTCCCGGAATTTAAATAGATAAATGGAATTTAAAATCCAAGCTGCCCAAAAGCTTAACGATAGAAGATGCTAAATCAATATTCACCTGATTTAGTTCTTTAAAGTTATAAAATTGTATTCAAAGACGTTTCATTAATGAGAAACAAACAGAATAAATATGCACTTACCGGTCTACAAGTTTTCCAGTAAACATCCCAATCGAATACATTGACAATAAAAGTCACATCTTAAAGAAAAACACAATCACACTGTACTTCACACTATATAACTGGATCGATAAAACCAGGGCGTGTCCTTCCCTGGCGGTACTATAACGTACCCATGTCCACTATCGATCACACAGTAGAAAAAATACACATATATACAAAATCCAAATGTGAATAAATTTACTGATAATAATCACTACCGGATCGGAGGTTTCTGTCATCTGCTAAGTAGCTGTCCGATAATTCGGTATCATATTCCAGTCTTCTTTTTTTTCCGTTCTCTAAAACCACAAACAGTTTTCCATTCACACTATATGAATGCTTCACACTCTTTAGTCTATACGCCTGCTTTAGGATGTCCTGGTTTCGTTTGGTCAGGTCCTCGAAAATCACAATTTTCGATCCTCTTAGGTTCCGGCGCTTGCTGAGAATCTGTGTCTTTTTCCTTCGGTGTGTGAACTTACAAATTATGGTCCTTGGCCTGTCACTGTTAAATCTACCCAGCCGGTGGGCAATGTCTATATCATTCTCGTTTATGTCCACTTTCAATGAGTTCTTGACCAAAGTCACGACTTTCTCGACACACTCCTCCACCGATTCCCGATCGTTTTTATCTTCCACACTAACAATCCTAATGGAATTCTTTCTTCCGTGTTGCTCCAGGTCGTTTAACTTGTAGTCCAAAGAGGCGTTGGACTGTTCAGAATTCCTGGTGTGTTCTTCCAGCTCCTCTACCTTTCTCCTCAGAAATTCGTTCTCCTTCTCTAAATCAAATATCTTCCCTTCTAACTGTTCCACGAGAACCCTGTTCTCTTCCCTGATATCTGCTCTTAGTCTCTCAAGTTTTCTGTCCATCATGTTATCTCAATCATCCTTTGTCACTAGAGACGATATCTTATCAAGTAAAACGTCCTCTCTATCCTTCTCTACTAAGGATTCAAAAAGAGGATCCAAGGTCTTGCCCCTTACTCCTGTCCTCCCGCTTCCTACACTGTTCCTGTTAGCTGGCATGATGATTATAAGTCCAAATAAAATAATAATATCGACAGGTGACACTCGTGCAGGTGAGGTAAATATATATATATATGTACACACACTGGGTGCGCGGCGTAAACAGTTTTCAGTGGTCAGTCCATTGTTCTTGGTGTGTTCTCTAAAACAGCATTTTGTCCAGACTTTTCACCAAAAATGTCCCCAGAATACGTTTTAACAATTCACCGGACTACCGTGTACCAAAAATCTTTCTCCCGACGGAAATATAGAAACTTTGATGAAATCACGGAGCCCAAACAAAGACCGACTGACCAGGTCCAGATGACCTTGACCTTTCCTGAATAGTTTTCTTGTTAATATTTTCTTTGTTGGTTTATTTGTTCCGCCGCCGGTAGATGATAACGATAGCTGGATGTATGATATTGCATTTCGAAATATCATATATATGATTTAATTTCAACTGACTTCAGCAGTTTGGATTTATCTCTCATTGCCGTAGACGTTCATTTGTATTCTACTTGTATCACGTTGCATTAACTAAGTACTAAAAAAAACTTTCCCAACACAAACATCGAAAAAAAGATATTGCAATACCCTTGTTTCTTGAAGTAAATTATCCCATAAACATTATAGCGTTTACAACACGACTACCAATGCAATGTTTTAACACGTTATGTAGTTACCAATATAACATCCTCAGCTGATACCTGTTCGTACTAGTAAGCATGTTGACGATACAATACCTAAATGCTTGTAATATGATTGTCTATCACGCAGTAGCCTGCTTGATTGACATGTTAGAAATAACACATTAAATACTTGCAATGGTTACGTCGTCACTTTAGATATACGACTGTTCAGTGCAATCTTAAATTCCTAAATTCCTAATGGCAGAGTTAAGATTGTTCGGTGTCGTTTAAAATTCCTGGTAAGTAATTAACACACGCGTCAAGTCACTGGAGTCTGTTATTTCCGTCCTGATTTAAGTAATACATGAATAGGGAACCTACCATACCATTAAAACTTCTTCCTAAATGGTATTTTCATTACATCTGACTAACTTTTTCATTACATTATGTCACCGAGAAAACTAAATGGACACTTGGAAACGAACATGATGCAAAATAAGATTGACAAATGGTGTAGATAAGGTTGCGTGACAATTTTCAAACCGAGACGAAGACAACAATTGTGAAAGAAAATGTTTGCCTTGATTGATTACTAATTCTGAGGGACAGTAATTCTAATGAAACAGTAATTGGAATACCAGATTAATCAGGAACAGATTTTGACACCTTGTCTACAATGTTGTCCTTGTAAATCCACATTAAAAACAACCAGGTGCTTTATAACTCTTAAGTGTCTGCATGTCACATCACGTTTTACACAGAAAAATCGTTCAAAATCATAATTCTTTCAAAATAGCTTCGTAGAATATCAATACACTGAACACTTACTGGTCATTATTGTATACACTAAACAGAACTTGGTTGTAAATAATGTATATGATATTTCGAAATGCAATATCATACATCCAGCTATCGTTATCATCTACCGGCGGCGGTATTTTATACACGTTTCTGTCTGAAATGGGTGTTCTCAGCAAGGTGAAAGAGTATTTGTTAACACCACAAATATATTTCAACGATATTTTAGGGTCTTAACTTGAAATAGTTTTTTATTGGCAATGTCACTGTCATATAGGTAAAACTTACTAATATATTAGTATATCAAGTAACTGTAAACAAAAAACAGAAAAATGTAGACAGACGCAGAGCAGTGTCGTCTTTATAGTATTGTAGGACAAAAAGTGTAAAGGAACATGTAGGTAGGATAATACAAATGTAATATGCCATTAGAAATCGTAATATCTAGTATCGATTGATGTCTATTGTTTATTGTGCACCCGTTTCGATTTTGGTATTTATTTATGATCTTTCGCGGTATCCCGTTTCGATTTTGGTATTTATTTATGATCTTTCGCGGTATTGATAATATTGCTGTAAATTTTGCAATGGATTAACCTATCATTACAACGAAGTAATATAAAGTGTAGACTTTGGCAGTATACATCACTACCAGCTCAATGAATGTCTAATTGCATGGTTTTATGCAACCATGTAATTAAACACAGCTGAACAGACGGCCGCTTTAAAAAAAACCTGTGTTTATTCCGTATTTTGTTACTTTTCAACGTAAGCAGGTATATGATTGTAAGTAGAAAGAAATCGCAACATACCCACTGTTTGTATCAATAATTGGTCACGGCGGTCAATGTGGAACAGGAAAAATGTTATTTGATAATTTGAATATCGCTATGACCAGTGCAAGTGTTTTCATATCAGGACAAGATTAAAATGAAAGAAAAGTATGTAATAACTATATGTAACGACTTTACCGCACAACATTTGAAGAACATTGTTCGGACTTCGCTTTAAACCATTCGTGAAACCTTATAGGACAATGCATTAATATCATAGTGCACATTTCGACAAACTTTCAAAGAAGAAGGTATCGTAACACTAAAAGAAAATTGGAAGCAATTTCTCTGATACATGGTATATCAGAACCAAGAAGAGAATTTGAAGCCAGACTTGGTGAATGTAGGAAAACCAGGAAGACGACAATTTAAAGAAACAAAAATCTGTTCTTAATGATTGTGTCATCGATACATTTGTACGAGCATTATTGACTGGACACCTCCTATGTTTTGGATGGAGAAATAAGCCTTGCCTAATGACAGACAGGACTTAGTGCAGCCAAACCCAGTCTCACTTCTGTAATGTGGACATGACCTTGAAAATTTGTTGACATGTTTTCAAACTTTATCTTGTCATCGGCCTTTCATAGTGATCTAGCAACAAACGTAATCGTTCGCGGGCGCTGTTTATAACTGGTCTGAGTCACACTGACAAAGTAAGATGACTTCTGGCAGGATAACGCACATATTTAAGAAGTATTATGAAATGTTTCATAATTAAAGTCAACATACAAACACTAGCATTTAACCTAGTTCAATATCAGAATGTACATTTAGGGACACAAAAATTCAGCTTTTACAAACTAATTCTGGAAATATGGAATTTACTAAGAACCATTGACGAGTATATCGACAAGTAAAGTGCTAATACGTTAGGCCTTACCGATACAATGAAAGTCAATTATACTCGTTCTACTAAATGCATATCGATGTCAAAGGAGTCAGGTACCAGAAAGAATGTCAAGGAAGATACGGATCCTACGTCTCCGGATGAAAGTATTAATTATATTGAAATAAATATTGAAATAAATATTGAAAAGAATGAATTTCCAAAGATACCAGTGAAGAATCCTTCGTAATGCAAACAGTAACCCTTTCGGATTATATGAAAACGAAAATTAAGACGGGCGATCATCAGAATCGTAATACCATGTAAGATATCATACTAAATATGACGAGTGCTAGCAAAAAAAGAGTGTTCCACGTGTAAGGATATATACTAAACAAAAAAGAAAGGTTAACATGTTTCCTTGGCGAATACCTGTAAATGAGTGAAAACAAAATGACGTTTGTGCAATATTAGAAAATGGTAATGTTTTACATTACAAAATCCAAGGGGGTTACCAAAATCATTCAAGCGTGAAAGTCTGTATTAGCGAAAGAGCTGCACGAGGTTTTCTGCGACTAACTTGTATCTTCGCTTGAATTTCATAAACATTCAAACTGACAACTGTTCCTTACATCCTGAGGACTTAGAAATCACCGAATCTATCAACTTTATCATTATGCCCCGGCTGTCACAAGTACAGAGAGAAAGGGCTGTAGGCATGATCCAGGCTGGGGAGTCTCGCCGTCGAGTTGCACGGCATTTTGGTTGCAGTATTAAGACAATTTGCCAGTTGGTAAGTCGTTTAAACCAAACTGGGTCAACATCCGATTGTCCCCGAAGCGGCCGACCCCGTAAAACGACCGCCAGGAATGACCGTCGTATACGATTGATACACTTGCGCAATCGATTCGTAACCGCAGTAGAGACTACAAGGACATTGTTTGGGCGTCGTGTGTCTCCCCAAACAGTCCGCAACAGGTTGAGAGCCTACCGATTGAAAGCGCGGCGTCCCTACACTGGACCCAATTTGTTGCGACGTCACCGCAATAATCGGCGTAACTGGACCCGTGTTCACCGTCGTTGGGTTTTACGACAATGGAACAATGTTCCGTTTTCAGATGAGTCCAGGTTTTGTCTGCAACACGGTGACGGAAGGCGCAGAGTGTGGAGGCGACGAGGGGAGCGTTTTGCGAACTGCTGCGTCGCAGAACGGGACCGCTTTAGCGGCGGAAGTGTAATGGTTTGGGGTGGTATTTGTGGGGGGACTCGTACCAGGCTTGTGTTAAATGGCAATTTAACCGGCATTCGATATCGGGACGAAATTTGAAGACCAGTGGTTCTACCATTCTTAAGACGCCATGGCGTTGGCGCCATTTTTCAATAGGATAACGCACCAGCGCACACCAGTCGCGTCAGCAGAACTTTCTTGCAGCAGAATAACGTACAGGTGTTAGATTGGCCATCTAAATCACCTGATTTGTCACCGATTGAGCATGTCTGGGACGTTCTTGGGCGACGCCTGAGAGAACGTCAAAATCAGTCGTCAAACTTGCAGGAGCTGGCTCAAGCCTTGATCGCTGAATGGAACAACATCTCTCCTCGAATTATCCGCCGGTGCCATGCGACGGCGCTGCAATGCTGTTTACTTCGCAAACGGTGGCCATACTCGTTACTAATGGTGTTACCTTTGAAATTGACCCCAACGTCCTTTACAGTCGAATAAAATCAGCTGAACGCAAAGTTTTATAACGAACCATGACTGCAGTTTTATCAGAA